AAAGGGCTATGAAAGAAAATTTAACTAGTTTTTGCGTGTTGGGTGTTTTTAAAAATAGTTTGAGGTATGTTTATGGTTTAAAATGTTTATCTTCTTGTAAATCTGATTTTAGGTGCTTTATCCTCTGAATTCCACTCCACAAGTTCAACCAGTGAAAGTCCACAAAAAAAAGAACAATGGGAAAAAAGTGAACAGAAGACAAAGATTATGGAGACAGCAAAATTGGAAGGTGAAAAGGAAATTAAAAAACTTGTATTAACCCTTTAACTCCTATGAGTGACCAAGACAGAATTTCTCCTTTCAATATCAATACAATATCAAGCAGACAAGTCATGAGAATAAAGAAAAATATCAGCAAGGGGATTATAAGTTGATCCAATACCAAACTCTCCAAACTAACATCACAAGATCGGTATGGCAGACAGTAAGGAGAATTACTAATGAGATCTTGGGAGTTAAAGGGTTAAGTGATAATGGAAAGTTGTTGTGAACAGTAATAACAATTATGTGATAAATGCTCGAAAAATTATCTCAGTGCAATAACGTGGCATCAATTAATTAATATAATTGTACACATTTCCACTTATCGCAACATCGGAAGAGAGGATGTGAATGCTAATCTCTCTCTGCCTCTTTTATCCCTAGGTACTTCACCCCTCACTGTAGTACCCACCACTGGTCATGGAAAAGAATTAGAAGAGCCTTGGGGAAGGAAAGGTGAACAGCATACTCAGTTTGAACTTTTTTTTTTAAAGTTAATATAATTTAAACATGGTGCTCATTGGGTAAAGAATCTGATCCTACCCGACGCGTCGGCCAACGCGTCGACCGACACACTATACCGACGCATTGGTAAGATCGAACGCATGAGACCAACCTCGCAAGAAAAGAAATCTAAATCATCGCCATTTTGAGAACGAAACACTAATACCTAGGTCTTCTGCTAGTTTTTTTTAGGGGTCGAATACCGAGGGAGTTAGCATGTTACGCGTTGATAAGATCGACTAACGCGTCGGCTGACACACTACCGAAACGTTGGCAAGATCGACCGCGTAAGAAAGGGAACTCTAAATCGTTGCCCTTTTGAGGAAGAAACACTACCTAGCGTTGGAAGCAAGACCAACCTCGTAGGAAAAGGAGGGGGGAATTAAGATTTTCGGTTTTGCGGTTTTGGCTATTCTTTAGATCGGTTTTTCGGTTTTTGCGCTAAAAAACTTCGGTTTTTCGGTTTTTGGTGCCAAAAAACTTCGGTTTTTCGGCACCAAATAAATAAATGTAAAATAAGATAAATAAACCTAGAGTTAAGTCTTAAATAAGAAACAGAATGAATATAAATATAAATGTGTCATAAAATATCAGAAATAGTAGAAATTTGGATTCACTTCCGTATTGATGGGAGTTAAATTCAGATGTAGACCCTAAAAGCAAAAGAATCTCAACTTCTAACGTGCTTTTGTCTGACGAGCGGTTCTTAAACATCACAACTCAGATCTCTCAGCCAAAAGGCATCAGAAAAGGAAATTACAGAGAGTGAATATATTAAAATGATGTCAAAACATGGCTACGACGAGTTTGTTGATCAGCTTTCAGAAGCACGCACCAAGTGAGTTGCAGAATATCACTAAATGCTAGTCAGGTACTTTTTACTAACGGTGATAGCAATTGTGCCAGTTAAAGTTCAACGCCTGCAAAAACAGAACTAGCTAAAAGAATTCCAGAGAAATCTGTCGATCTTCGAAAGCGATAGTGACGGCTGCAGGACGGAAATTGACGATTCAGAAGCGTACTTTGAGAATCTTCAGCACGACATCTTTAACGCAACCTCACTGAAGAAGGATTTAATCGACTTCCCACGTCTTTGGAAGAGAGCTTATGCTGAGGGGGGCATTGGGGCCTATAAGAAACCGCAACATCGTAGAAAAAATCATCCAAAACCAAAAAACCGAAAAACCGAAAAAAAATTCGATGAAACCGAAAAAAGCATGCAAAACTGTCAAAACCGACACATTTTCCCAGTTGTTAAGACCCTCATCGATCCGATACGGGGGTGACAAGTGGAGCATGAATACAGTAATTTCGTTACTGTATTTGTGAATGCCATGGACTTGGCATTCGTATCTTCTGGTATCTGCTTAAATTATAGGCGTTATTTCAGCTGCTCTATCGAGGACATCGAGCGTGGTCTCTGCGCACTCAGTAGCTGGTAATGGAGCCCAGTTAAATTAAGGAAATTCGCACAAAAGTCCTCCATAGGATTGCAAATTTACAGTCCTAACAAGCTATAGCTCTGGAAAGTTCCATCGAAAATCCCTTATCTAACATTTCCATTTGCGAAGTTTAAAGGTTCTATTGGAATGTTGAATCAATCAGTCACGTGTAGCCTGTAACTTGGTCACCGACTTCGAGGTGGCGTTGATAAAGAAATTCTGGCAATGTTCCGTGCTTAGCAATTGTTGTTTCTTGTCACACTGTCCTTCGTCTTACTGCCGCACCATATTCGTGGTTCAAGGCGCGTGAACCCCTACGGATGGTCAAAGTCTTGGGCGTCATTCGAGACGCGTTAACCCCCCAGGGATTAGCCGATGTGTAGCCGTGCCCTCCCCTCCCCCTTCTTTCCCCCCCCCGCCCCCAGGAGAAACGGAGGCGAAGTTCCCTTCCAATTCACCTTAGCGGGGGAAGGGTATGGCTACATGTAGGCTTCCTTGGGATCCCTGCGATATTTCAATCGGTGGTCACGCATTCCTCTTAGCGTTTAGCGGCTATTCGAGATCAGTGGAGGCGCATAATTGCCGCTCAGATCGAAGAGAAACCGGAACCCAAATAGGTCACATAGGAAAAACCGAAAACCGCTTTTGATATCAAATCCGAAAACCAGTTACTATTTTTCGTGAAAAGCGAAACCATATGCTAAACAACGGAAAATCCGCAAACCGCAGTGAACACCAAAACGGAAAAACTGAAGGTTTTTGCGAACAAAAGGCTAGTATCGAAAAACTCGAGGTGTTATCGGTCGCACAAAAACTGCTCTCGCTTGCTTTTTTTTATGTTCTGTGCGATAACTAACGCGGACAATTGAAGGAATCAAATACTTTATATTAAAGTTCACACGGCAACCAGGTGGACAATCAGATATAGTTTGATGCTACTCTGGTTTGCAGATTTAATGAATGTAACCGAAGAAGTTACGATTCATAGACCCAACGTTTTGACACTCCTGTCTAGTGCCTTCATCAGGGGTGATCTAAACGCTGCAACAAGAGGTCCTTTTATATGATCACTAATAAACGGCCTTTTTTCTGACGAGGTGTAAATAGGCGTCAGGAAGCAAACCGCCATCGTCATGATTTCAAGGAGCGTGGGCGGAGTTAATATGCCAAGCCTCCAAACAAAGGCGCTGGTGGTAACGCCGATTAGTGGTGATAATTTTAGAATTATCCCACCCAATTGTATGGTTGGTCGATAAAGCTGAATTTTCCTTTTTGCAGAGAAAAACCGCTTTTTGGTGCTCTTTTAACCGTGTTCCAAACTGACGTTTGGTCTGTCCGATGTATTCGTTGTCACAGTCATTGCAAGGAATAGAATAAATGGCATCGGTTCGTTGTTCTTTCGTGACAGGATCCTTAGGTTTGGCGAAAATATGGCCCAAGGTCTAAAAAGGTTTTTGAGCAACTTTAACGTTGTGGCTATTCAAAATTCTCTAGATGGGTTCCGTAACACCCTGTATGTAAGGAATAACAGCAAAACCAGTCGCTGGTTCCCTTTCATCAAGAGCGTTACTATTTGTAGCTGGTTTTTGGCAGTTACGGAGAAAAGTTTTTGTATAGCCATTTGCCTTTAGGACATTGGAAACATATTTCCTCTCCTCAGCCTTCGAATCGAGTGAAGATGGTAGACAGTCAGCCCTCCTAAGTAAAGTTTTGGCTACAGACTTTTTATGGCAAATAGGGTGGTGAGAATCGAAAGCGAGGTATTTGTCGATGTGAGTAGGGTTACGGTAAACACTTGTCTCTAAATTACCCTGAACCCCTCTGAACACATTTAAATCAAGAAAGGGCAAATGTCTATCCTTTTCGCGCTCAAGGGTGAATTGGATCTACGGCTCTACTGAATTCAAATGCGACAAGAGGCGCTCCGCTTCATTTCCGGATACCGCAGAAATAACATCATCTACATATCGTTTCCAGAAAAAGGGTTTAACCGGTGAAGTGGCTAAGGCCCTTTGTTCCACGTCTTCCATTACCATGTTAGCAATGACAGCAGAAACGGGCGAACCCATCGCTGTACCAAAAACTTGTTGATAGTAGGTGCCGTTATATGTATGAAAGCACTAGACAGGAGTGTCGAAACGTTGGGTCTATGAATTGTAACTTCTTCAGTTACATTCATTAAATCTGCAAACCAGAGTAGCATTAAACTATGTCTGAATCAAATACTCTTGCTAAGCATCTGCTAAATTTGCAACTCAATAACTTTCCCAGAGTCCGAACGTTTGGTGTCCTCTACGAATAAAACATATTCCAAAGCAACGCATGGACCACCGTTAATCCATACGGACCGCTTTCTTCGGGTCGTTTGACAAGAAGAAAACAGTGTGACCATTTTGATTACATTACTCGGTCGGAAAGCAGCGAAACTGGTCGTAGTTTGTAAACCAATGTCCAACAACGTCTATTATTCATACAAAAGCAAAGAAAATCGTGATCGACAAAATCGATTAATCCTGGATCAGCGCTTATTGCCTTTCGACCAACCAGCAATTTTTTTCACTACGGGCTACATTAATATAAATAGGAAACCTTCCGCTCGACCCACCGCTGGCAAAATGCCGACAGTTGGCAAGATCGTTACCGTACTGCTTAAGATTGTGTTGCACAGGATGAAGTATAGTTTAAGTGTTTTCGGTTCCTCCTTTCCCAATGGTTTCTAGTAGTATAGGAGTTAGCGGCGCGAGACCAGTTTTGTAAAAAATTTTTCTCGAAACCAAGCCAACTCAGTATTTTCTTAGCGAAAATTATGGCCGCCATCTTTGATTTTAATTATATTATTTCAGAGCAGAAGATACAAAATAGAACTTATTAGTTAGACCAGTCCATAATTTGTGTATCTGTGGATACATATTCCGTATACGTTGATATTATTACATGTTGATCATTTTTTTCCAGTAATTCGAATTTTATATGGTGGATTAAAGTTTGCGTGTCAAATTTCGAGAGAATCTTTATTCACGGGTCTTAAATTTCGCATTTCTTTTACAATCGCAAAAAACGAGAAATTAAAGACCCGCGAAATTAAGAACGAATAAGGTATAACTATGATAAGGCAGGAACTTGGTATTCTTGTTCATTTATCACGCTCTTTTACATTTCACATTTTCTTATAAATCCGATTCTTTGATAAATTTGGACCGAGGAAGCATGGCCAAAGCATTGATTGGAATCCTTCTTGACGTCTCCCATTCCATGCGTGATAACGTGGGAAGCGGTGTTGATGAAGATGGAGGATCGTGGGCTCTTTCGATATTTGAAGCTATTGACAACTTGATCAAACACGACGTCTCTCCTGATAACTCTGTATTTGCTTTGGCCTTTGGAGCTAGAGGTGGCGACCAATTATTAGATATCTTGATGTGTCTTCAGTCTTCCAAATTTGATCAGAAAGTCACAGGTGATCAATTGCCTAGTCTTCAGGGAGATGATTACACCGTGAAATGTCCCATATGCCAGCAAGATTCACCTGTCAAGAAATTAACTGGGAATTTGTCAAGTGCTAAGTGTCCCAAATGTGACGCGGAATTCTATCTGAAAAATGTCCGCGATGGAAATATTTTGGCTCTCAATATTTCTCTCACTGCTTTAAGAACACAAATTTTCCTCGTTAACCATTTTCTACAAGCAAAGTATCCTAAATGCAAAAAAGCATTTGAACTAAAAGATGTCCCTAAAGGGAACATTTTGGCTCTTAATATATATCTTACTTCCTTAAGCAAATAACGTTTGAGCCCTTATGTATCTCACGCTAATTCAAGAGTATTTAGACATCCTTGTGCGAGGAGAGGATCTACTCCATGGCACAAATAGGTATATTCAAGTAACGAATCAAAAGTAGCCAACATCTTAGCTGATTGACAAGTGGTGTCCTGGAGAAAGAAGTTTTAGCACGAACCGAGGAATCAGGTCCTAACTTCAGATTTCGCAAAAATTTATGAATAGTTGTTGCTGTCAACAATAATCAATAACTATGCATTAACAACTCCTTGAAAACTAAAAATATCAATATAGACTAAAAAGCATATGATTAAGGGTAATTAGGAAAAGAGGTTAGTTTTTGCGGAATGAGATGCCCAAGGACGCTTTACCAAAGGATGAAGACATCTTGTAATGAACAAAATTCTCAATTTAGCTTCGATCTGGACACAAATTTCAATCATTGAAATTTTTGCGCAATGATTGCGTCAATTGTTGTGAGAAAAATTCTACAATTCACCAGTCAAATATTATATTAAAACTTTCCATTTGTTCTTACACTGTAGGTACAACTATGGATTATACTATACACTGTAGGTATAACTTTTATACCGGTTTTAGATAACGGAAAGGCCGGTTTAGACGTGAGCGGGACAGCCTGATTCCAATAATTTAAATGAGACTGTTAACACTTCAATAAACACGTAATGTACCGACTTAAGTTTACGAGAGTTGAGTATTAAGTACTAAAGCTACTCGAAATATAATTCTTAAGAATTTAGCGAAATTTCGGAAGCAGTTGGCTGAGCCAGATTCCTAGAATGTCAATCTATACCGGAATGACAAGTTAATTGCCTTTTCATCGTCTATGTTTGATGTTCGTCACCATAGTTACCGCATGATTTTGTTTTCTTTTTAAGAGAACATTAGTGTCAAATATCCCAAGGCGAACCTTCGCTGACATTATTAGCTACTAGGAGAAGCAAAATTAGCAAATCGCTTATTCGAGCACAAATGTTGTTGGCCTGGTTTTTCTTTAAGATTTTCTTTAACCTACTACTAAAACTAAAAGATATCTAACTGAACGTAATTGGAAAGATAGGTTTCCAAATTAAAGCTGAAACTTATTTTTTGGATCCTATGGCATTAATCACATCGTTGAAGCCCTGAGGGCTGCGTCATTCCTAGAAAATAAATTCAATTTAGTTAACACATCAGAAATAATTTATAAAAAGGACAGTGCTTTAGGTCTGTCCCTCTAGCGCCAACTGTTCCATTTTTCTTGTTGTTATGTAAAAGTCTATGAACGCTATTTTCTTGGCAAGTTTTATACAAGGACGAGTTTAACTCCCCTAAAGAGTTCCTTACAATTTTTTTTATCTCTTGTCTTACTTCGATTTCTACAGATCCTCACCAGCGCGAAAAAAATAGCAGTATAAAAACCAGAAAAGCCATCTCGAACAAGCATAAGATTGAAAAATAAAATAATAATGCTAATAAGACCTGCGCAGGTGCACTCCAATACGGATGAATGACGTATATTTGAAAAGCTGATTGTTGTCATGTTACAAGCAGTTGGCTTGAGTTTCTTTATCAGTCAAAGGAACTTGCAGAAGGTTAGATAACTTGGAACGAGTAGTCAAATTAAAAGTGTTTGAGTGCAGCCCTCTAACGACTAATCCACGCTGTCATTGTTTTCATATGCAGTCCACCTTTCTGTAATCTTCCAAAACTCAAAGGTAAGCCATTAATTGTTATTCGCTCAGACGAAGGGCTTTCTTCAGTAACTTACCCCTTTATTGATTGTTATACTACTCTGACTACTAATTTCTTCCTTCAAACAAATACAATTACTCTGAAAGGATATGGGGTTATTGGCTACGTGTTTTAACATATAAAACCGAAATTTGAGTTGGTTTGTTTTGTGTGAAATGTGGCGTTTAATGGAATAGTTCCATTTATTCTAAGAAAAATTCGCTTTGTTGAAGTCGTCGAGAAAACTCGAAAATCTTAAAGTGTTATCGGTCTTACAAGAACTGCTACCGCTTGCTTTTCACAAAGCTAAATTTATGTCCTTGGCGAAAACTATAGCAGACAATCGAGGGAATCAAATAAGCTTTGGTCACCTTCTGCCTAAGTTAACCTAACCCTGAAAGCGAAAGCAGAAGTATATTTACCTTCAAACATGCCAGAGTCCGACAAAAGGCTATCAGAAAAACATCAAACAGCTTGCTCAAGCGAAAAGGATCATAAAAACAAGTTCTTCCAGTCGAAATCTTCGATAAGTAGCAAAGGAATCAAACAAAAGTAAAAATTATGAATCTCTTGCTAAGCATCCACCAAATTTGCAATAATTTTCCCAGAAATGGACGTACGAGCGTTTGGTGCCTTCTACGAATAAAACATATTCCAAAACAACACATCGACCACTGTTAATCCATACGGACCGCTTTCTTCGGTTAGATTGACAAGAAGAATACAGTGTGGCCACTTTGAATACATCACTCGGCCGAAAAGGAGCGAAACTGGTCGTGGTTTGTAAACCAATTTCCATTATCTATCGCGTTCCAGCCGCGATACGGAGTATTCAGGAAAAATCGAATACGCTTTAGTGCACTTCCGTATTGATAGAAGTCAAATTCAAATATAGACCTTAAAAGCGAAAGAATCTTTACTTCTAACATGATTTTGTCTGACGAGCGGTTCTTGAACAGCGCAACTCAGATTTCTAGGCCAAAAGGCACCAGAAAAGGAAATTATAGAGTGTGAATACATTAAAAGATGTCAATAGCGTACTTTGAGAATCTTCAGCACGACCCGATGAAAAAAGGATTCAATCCACTTCCCAAGTCTTTGGAAGGGAGCTGATGGTAATAATACAGGCTAAAACATAAATTCATGCAGACATAGCTGGTGACTCGTCAAATGATTACATTTCCTCAACTACCCGACCTCCAGTACTGAGAAAACCATCCACTTTGAAACGCAGGGGATTGATTTTTAGTGAACAAAAGGCTAGTATAGAAAATCTCGAGGTGCTATCGGTCTAACAAGAACTGCTATCGCTTGCTTTTCATGAAGCTAGATTTATTTTTTGTGTGAATTTTATCTTTCCGCAGTTAAAGTAATGGCCATTCGTAACTTATATCTGCTGGGCCTTCCGAGAAATTTGTTTCATTTGCAATTTAATTATATTCCCGGAAAAAAAGGCGATCAGGTGTTTCAAATCATACATTCTATGAACCCAGCCAATTGAAAACCAGGACGAACTAGCATGACGTCCGCATGGTCCGCATGGTTCTGCACAGACTATGGTTTTGTACAATGACTATTATTAACGTGGAAAAAAGAAAAATATCGATCTACTGTCCCCTATAATAGAATACTAAGCAGACACAGATCCTGATAAACAGTTTGTGAAAAAGACAGTGCGCCAGAATTCTTTAAGTCGCTTATATAGTTACAATTAAAGAAAAAAAAATATTTCCAAGTTCGATTCTAAGTAATCTCACGCTAAATCTCCACGGGGTTGGTCAATAATCACGTGATAGTATAATCAATATGAAAGTTTAGTTCACTGGTATTTTTGTAAACCAGTATGTCAAGGCCGATCCTTATAATTATAATTGCAGACAAAGGAAACATGCCCGCATTAATTGGAATCCTACTTGATGTCTCCGGATCCATGGAGCGTAACATTGGAAGTGGTATTGATGAAGACGGAGAACCGTGGGCTCGTTCGATCTTTGAGGTCATTGACAACCTTATCAAATACGATGTTTCCGCTGACAACCACGTTTTTGCTGTTGGCTTCGGGGCTAACGAAGGTGAGCAAATATTCGACATCCTGGGAACCCTTGAACGTATTCACCTTCATAACCGAGCTTTCGATAGAAATGACAAGCCCGTCACACGCGGCCACTTAAATGAAATTTTTAAAGTACTGGAGAAGGCCGGTGCCCGTTACATCCGCAAATGGGCAGACGTGGAAGTCGCCAGAAGCGTAATACCGGATTACACAGCTGATTTGTTACTAAGAAAATTTCAGTCTGACCAGTCATTTGCACGTAAATTCGTCATGGAGTTTCTACCATCAGCTTGCCGTGATTGGGATACAGGGGGTAATCCACTTCTAGGCCTCGTAGAAACAGTGGCTACCTCTGCCGTGACGACGTTTAAAAGGGCTACAACAGAAGACGTCAAAGATGTAATTGACAAGGCTGCACCACATTTGATGAAGAAAAGTGTAGGAGAAGATTCCATTTTCAATGTGCGCAAAGCCTCAGATATTTTACATGGATGTTTCGATGAAGAAGAACTCTCAAAGGAAAGGAGTCGAGAATTATCACGAAGAATCGAGCCCTACATCTACGGTGGAACGCCTTTGTATGAGTCAATTCGAAGGGCCACAGTACTTATGAGAACCAATGAGGTTTCATGTCATAAAAAGGTCCTATTTGTTCTTTCAGACGGAGAGCCTAGAGACGGAGCTATTGATGATTTAGTGAAAAAAAACGAAGCCGTCTCAAATTTGACGGATGCCGAGGTGAACGTAGTGGGCTGCTTTGTCACTGACTCCACAACGATTGAGCCTAAACGACTGTACAGTGAGATGAAACCTGACTGGCAAGAGGGTGCACAGTTCCTGTTCTCACTGAGCTCAATATTAACCACGCAGTCAATACCACGCACCATGTTTGTTAAACGTGGTTGGTCCATTGAGGTTAAAAACAATGAAACACGTTTGTTCCTGCAGGTTAATCATCCCGACCACCTGCGAGAAGCTTGCAAGCTTGCTCGAAAGGTCGTCTGTTCTCAGGAGGCGTTATCCGGTTTGCTTGCAGACGTTGACGTCGATCTCTACATAAACCAGTCAGTAAGAGATTATAAAGCACAACCAGAGCAAGACGAACAGACCTGCTTTGCACATGCATCAGCTACAGTGCTTCATTTGACTATGAAGCGAATTCATGGCCGCCACGGCAAAATCCCAGATTTCGAAGAATTGAAAGATGAAATGATCGGCAAGTTTGGAAAAGAAGCCCGCGGTATCAAACTAGTGCTGGAAAAAATGTGCAACAAGTACCATTTGCGTTACAAGCAAGTTGACCTCAAGGCTGCCATGGAAGCAGTCGCTTCAAGCCGACCAGTGATTGCAGCATTTTGGCTTACCCTCGATGAATGGGGTAGGTTTTATGAGTTCTTCGAAACTAACAGAAAAGGTATTTTGACAAAACAGAAGATCAATATTACAGCTCGTCCTTCAAATCCCTATAGGCCCGGCCATGCAGTAGTTTTAACTAGTTTCAACGGCGAACATTTGCGACTGTTGAACTCCAAGGGACCCCACTGGGGAGACAACGGCTTTTTTAAAGTGCAGAACGCAGATGTTCTTGGATTTACGTTTTACGATGTCTACTGGGAAATAGAAGATCTGAACGAAAAAGAAAAGACCTTTTTCAAGGAACTTGAATCCAAGCGTGCCAAATGGCTAATGGAAACTTTGCCGAGTCTTCAACGAGATGATTACACCGTGAAATGTCCCAGATGCCAGCAAGATTCACCAGTCAAGAATTTCACTGGCAATTTGTCAAGTGCTAAGTGTCCCAAATGTGACAAGGAATTCAATCTGAAAAATGTCCCCAAAGGAAACATTTTGGCTCTCAACATTTATCTCACTGCTTTAAGCACTTAAATTTTCCTCGTTATCCATTTCCCGCTGATAAAGAAATGTTTAGCCCTTCCTATTTTATAGGGAAGATATCACAACCTCTATTACAAGATAACCTGCACAAAGGCGCCGAATGAAGACGATTTAATATCAGTTTCGGTTAATTTACAAGTGGTATCCTGCTTGTTCAAACTGGTTGATAGGTACGATTACAACAATTTTCATTTCGGCATAAACAACCGACACTAACGAATCTAAAAAGAAAAATCTTCAAAGATTTAGATCAAGTTTAGTTCAACAGAGAGAAATAACCAAGGACGGTTTATGAAAAATTAGGATATTTCCCTACTTTAAAAAGGCTAAACAACCTTTCCATGCATAAAAAGAAAACGGCAAATGCAGGCATTATACGTTAGATTTGACTTGAGAAAACTAGTGAAGTAAGATGAACAGGTAGAATATGTTGAAAGAATATTTTTTTGAACTAGGCTAGTATTTTCTAGGAATTTGTATCGATCTGAGCAAACTTTTACACTTGCCAGTTCTACTGAAAAGAGGTTAGCTTGAATATGATACAACATAATTTATGTCACATTTAGATAATAGATAATATCCTCCTAGGTTCGGCAGCATTCAAAAATTGGTGACAAATTTTTCCATGGGCTTTTTCCCTTTTCTTTTTACTAGAAATACATATTGTAAAACGCATCATCTGTTTCAAGTTGTATATGTATAGTAAACCGATAAATGCCCGGAATTGAGACATCGTGGAGAAAAGGCTGACTCTGCCAAAAGAATTACCTGTTTGTTGCTTTCTGCTTTTAGCTCAGTACCAAGTTGATAAGGGTGATACTTAAATACAATTATTCACGTTTTTTTGCGCAAAGAAGTTTCACTATTTTTGTGCATTTTTAGAAGAAGCTAAGCCCCTTGAGCTTGTATGCAATTCACCTGTGATTTTCTTCAAACCAGAGCAGACTATGTATAAGATCAGTTATGACCAAAACACCATTATGGAAAGAACTATCAATCCCACCAGTCTCTAACTAACAAATTTGCAGCTGATTCTGGAAGAAACATTATAGTAAAACATGAGGTAAGGCTGCAGAAATAATCCCCAACTCATTCAGGAGGGAGTCTCTACAAACATTGATCTTGTTTCTTGAGCTTCAAGGCAGTTTTATTAAAGGAGAAAAGGTATTTCAGCAAGCCAGCCCAAACCGAAATATCTAAAATTTATTGCTCAAAGAAATCAAACATTTTTTTTAGGAAGATTCATAATTCCTTAAAGTCCTCTTGCATTGTTAGGGGCCAATTGCCTAAGCCAATTCTTTTTTCTTTTCTTGTGTAGCAGTTTATTTAACCATGCATGAAAGTGTGCTTATTCCAGGAAATTCACATGTGAATGGGACAGAATTTGAAAGCACTTTAACACCTATAGGCTAATACTACTCTGACACCCTCTGTAACCCTCCCTTCTTGGTCAAAATCAAGTGCATTGAAAAATATTGCAGACTCAAGCCTCTCCTAAGGACCATCAGTGCTATCACCATGTGGCACTCATTTAAAGAAAATGAATAAAAAGCTACGCTTTTGCAAGTCTAGGATTTGTGTTCACTTTGAAGCTAGATGTAGAACAAAAATGTTATTTACCCCAGGGGATATCACATTGCCAGTGCATGTGAGAATTGCTAAATTGTCAGCTGTCTACTTCATGCAGTGAGGCACCTTCTCCCTGATTTTTGAGAACCACAAAAACTTTATCTTGAATGAACACAGCATACTCTTGACTAATTTGGATGGAAACAATTGGAAGTCAGAGGGAAGGATTATTTAATTGCACTTAGGGAATTTAAGGGTTAAATGGCAGAATCCAGTGAGATTACATGATAAAAGATATAAATAATATTCAACTTATACTCACAGCATCAACATGTTTGATGGAAGCAATGCATATTAAACACACACTTGAGCCAGGTTTGCAGGAATCAATCAAGTACTGGGCAGTTTTGCCCAAGTCTGCCTCATTATCTACAAGGAAGAAATACAGCATATTCCCTGATAAGTAGGGACAAAACCTTATAAATGAACACAAATAGTCCCCTTATCTTAGCTGAATTAGTTTCACCAAGAAAAACTCTATTGTGGATCACTGGTTTGCTAAGATCTTGGGACATAGGAACTAACCAAAGTTTGGAGCCTAACTGTCATGTTTACCAAACAAAATACAATCTATACGAATCGATTTCGTCATTATCAAAACGATCCCAAAGCCTAATTATCTTTGACTGCATGTCACGATAGCGTTTTCGTTGAATTCTTGTGAGTTTAGCTTGACTAACAAGTTCCACTTGAAGCTTTGCTAGCATTGCTTCACTGTGCTGAAATTTCACTAGCAGATAAAATTGCAGCTGATGGCGGTGAGAGGCTCTTTGGTTCATCCTATTGTGCCAACCCTCAATGTAGCTGTTGGTGCGGATATTCCCATGTTTTTTTCACGTATTCAAAAAGGTTTTGTAGGGCGGCGATCGGTCAGCCTGTTGTACGAGCCGGTTAAACATGTCCTCAACGTCGTCTGAGGGCACATATGGTAGGAACATGACTTTCCTCGAGAACATCTGGGTCGGTCTGTGCTCATGGTAGGCAGCCTGAAGTCCCAAATATTGGATCTGATGAGGTAATAAAATACAAGTAAGAACAGATTTCTTGTAATTTTTTCCTTTTTCAGACCTCACTTTCATACCTTTCGCCATACGGCCTGGCTCTAATGAAATCCACAACCGGATAGTTTCACTGTTGGCATTACTTTGGGAATGGCTTTCCAAACCAACTTTTCAAAATCAAGCACCGCTCGTTTGACTCTTGGTTCTCTTGGCAATATTTCGATTATCTTCTCTAGTACCTACAAAATACAATATTTCAGAAATAATTATCTGCGTTATGATTGGAAAGTGATAATCACATCTATGAAGCTCACGATAGAGTGGTCTTCATAAACCCGCGAAATAATTACTAACATATTTTGCAGTAACTTCAACTTGGATATTAAACAATGCAATTTAATAGTAACATACACATTACTACGCTTTAATGCACAATATCAAAATAATGATAATTATTTCACGGGTTTCTGAAAACCACTCTACTGATCACTGACATCACAGAGTGCAAATAATATACCCGTGAAATAGACTAACTAATTACTACTAAATAGTGCTAATCCAAGAATAGAAAACAAAGCACTTAGCGCTATTAAGTAGTATTTAGTTAGCTAGCTATTTCACGGTAATAATAATTGCACTCTATTGAAGACTTGTCTTACCTTTTGGTAATCGGTGGTCTTTCGTCCAGACATGAGCACGAATACCAAGGAAACCTTAAAGCACAGCTGGATAAAACACTGTCTGAGTCCAAGAGGAAAAGCAGAAGTTAGTAGGACTGTGGCACCAACTATAAACATCAACACAACAAGACAACATTAACTCTCTATATTGTTTCAACCAATCTCTCTCCTTTTGACCATTGCTCACCCCCTTAATACAAATTTCCTTCTCTTACCACCCTTCCGCCGCTATATCATTCTCCTTCATTACCTAAGGAGTATGTGAGAGAGATACACTGACAAAGAGGTTGCACCAGCACAACTACACCACACAGTCAAAAACATAGTTACAATGTTACAACTTGGAGCAATACTTTTGTACTTTCCACCATGCATGGAGCAAAAGCATTCAAAGATTTTATAGACAAAAAGAACACTAGAGTACCTGAATTTCTTGAAGTGGTAGCTGAACACCAAGAACCCAAGAAAACTGACTCGGAGGAAACAACACAAGATGGTCGAAAGAAATCACGTGCTGTTAAGCATTGCCAAATCACAATTTGGATCAACGGAATATGTATATTAAGTGGGTAGGTTTTTGATAATGCCAGAGGACTAAGTAGATCTGATTTTGCGAGTCTAAAGTAAGGTCAAAATAAACGCAATCATGCAAGTCTGTAAAGTTTCTCTTTAAAATCAATTTATTCTTTCCGAGAAATACCTCAAATTGAACAAATGTAAATACATTATCTTTGTAAATACTTTATATAGTACACTGTTTATTTGATATTAAAAATAATATCATGTACTCTTTGTAATAAAGTGTTCAAAAATTGTTCCAAGAAAGAATAGTTTACTTGAATTATTATTTTTTATCTTAAATAAAATCTCAGGCTTGTGATATAGTACACCATCCAAATGTACCCGTTAAATTTAATTAGTCCACGGCAATAAGAAGAAGTCCAGCCATCAAGACTACTGCCCCCAGAAACATGACAATAGTGAACCAGTGACGCTGGAACCATGATGGCTCAATTATTTCTTCTTTTTGCTTCCTTGGACGCCGTTTCTTCCCTCGCTGTTTCCTCTCAAACCACTCCAGCTCCTCCTAGGTTAATAACAAGATGGCAAATTATAGTTATTGTAGCAGACACAGTGTGTAATGGTAAGTGCATTGTTTACCATGTCAAGAAATCAGAGTTCCAAACCCAGTTAGGTCATTGTGTTGTGTTCTTGGGAAACAGTGCCTCTCTCCACTCAGGAGTAGAAATGGGTACTGACGAATTGTCAGGTAAGCCTGATGAAATGCTGCTGTGGGGGGAAGGGGGGTTAGGGTTAGGGTTGGGGGGGGGGTACTTGAAATGGACGGGCATCCCATTCAGGGAGGGAGTAGTACTCCTCCTTCCATCCTAGTTGCTTCATGCTATTGAAACCTGGATAAGATCTAGCTGGATGGACCACTTTGCTCGAGTGCAGACTACACCTTTACCTCCCATATAGTAATCCTTAGGCTAACTGTACTTAGGCTACTGTACTAAAAATCTTCAAGAATCATCGGTTCTAAGAACTATTATTTAAAATGATTTCTCTGCGCAAAGTGAAAGATTGTGGGTAGAAAAGAGAGTTCACATTGCTTGTTTGAAGGGTTCTGAATGATGAAAGTTGAGGTCATGTTACCTGTTGTGCTTTAAGTTCTCCTTTTTTCCTCATCTCATCTTCTTCACTCAACAATTTCTTTTGTTTAGCTTTAAATGTTTCACACTCTTCATCACAAAGTAACTTAGCTTCACCTTTCTGCACCATGCGGCAGGGAAAATCCTTGATACAGAAAAGAAACACCACAGTTTAATCATGGCTTATCAAGCTAAACAGTCTCAAAGCACACTTAAGTTCATTTTGATTCACCGTTGTTTAACAAAATCAATCATCCAAAACAATGGAGCCAATGAGAACTCGTAAGCAGAAAACTCCTTAAAACATAACAGAAGAATGACCAAGTTATGACCATTGGTTTACATTTAGAACCTGACTTATTGCAATAGCACAAGAGTGAAGCAAAGCAATACCAGTACAGTGCCACATTACTTTTATTATCCACTTACTCTGCATTGGACCATACAGAAGACTTACCTTCTTTTTACGGCGACAAGGACACCTGCAGAAGACTTCCTATTGCAGCTCAGAGGATGGGCAGGGGCCGTAATGACAGTTGGATGAACACCGGTGACCACAGACTACTGAATTCTTGGACACTGATTCTTACAGGGCATTAGTTTATTGCGAGTTTTGTTCATCCACAGATTTAATTCACTAAGAGACAAAAAGCACCAGAAGGAGAATGTTTTGAACTCATGCTGACTCTACATACACATATTAAAGATTAATAACCACGATGAACTTTATAATGTCATATGCAGTATCTTACCTACATGACACATAAACCAGCATTAAGCCACAATGACAAGGAAGCTTCACCATCTTCTGCTTACATTTGGACAATCTCCTGTGATTGAGAAAAAAACAATTACATGTTGCACTAAATCT